TAGAAAGAGTATTTCTACTAGATTAAATTCTATGTTTTGCTCATAAATATAAAATATGTAAAATGAATTTAACTTTGAAGAATAATTTAAAGGGAAACAAACGTATGACTGTGATTTTTGTTATAACAATAAGTATATTTTATTGAAATTTTAAACTGAACATAAAATACCAAATTATAAATAGCATAAATTTATGGGTAAAAAATCAATTTTTTACTTCTGTTTCTCTCTTCTTTGTAAGGCTTCTGTATACAACTTTCAGAATAGACCTAATCAATAATTCGATCATTCAACAAACTTTATCAAAATAATTTTAGGAAATCAATAATTTCAACTGATCTATCATTTATTTCAAATTAAAACATTTTTCATTTCAAACAAAATTCTTCATGTATAAATTTCCTAATATATGCATTTCTTTCTTCTTTTAGTTTTTAATTGATCTGGAATTTATTGTTAATTATCCAAATGTAATTACAATTCTTAACGATCTCAATAATGGCTTTTCAAAATATAATCCATTTATTGATCCTAAAAGTAACAATCATTTTATCAGGTTAATATATTTGTATTGTTTTGTTTTTTTCCAAATGTTCGAGAATTAAATTTAGAGAGATTTTATTTTATTTATTTCTTGCTTAATATTTTAAATTATTTTCAGAACATTTATACATTTAATAATTTTTTTTTTTCAGGATTTACGGGGAACCGGATAGAGGAACATATCGTGTTGCAAATGCTCAAATTATTGCTCATATTATATTCATGCATATATTTTTGATATTACAACAACGATGGAAATTTTCAATAAAAAAACGTAAAAGTATCCGATTTCAAGAGGATCCGGAATGGCAACCTGATGATCGTGTTGTCCTTTTTCAACATTTTTTTAAAGGTTTATCATACAATTCTTGCAATATCATTTGTAATATATGAAAAATGTCCAATACTTTAAAGTTACATTTTATTTATATAGTTACTACACACTAATAAATTATTACGAAAATAATTTTTCATAGTAATATCATAAGAAAGGATTAGAACAAAAAATGATATAACCATTAAATTTTGAATTAATCGTTGCATATTTTAGCATATGCCAGTTATGACTTTTTTTTAATAGAATAGAGGAATATAAAAGCTATGTGTAAAGTTAGATGTAAATTAATAATGAACTCAAATATTGCCTCATTATAGTATTATGTAATTATTATTTATAATTATTATTAGAGATATTTTGATGAAATATTAATTAAATGTGATGCGTTTAATATTAATTCAATTTTCTTCCTAATATATTCGATTTTTCTTTTTCCTTCATTTTATCAAGGACACAGCAATTTTTTTTATTTTGTTTTGTTATAATTTTTAGCAGTGGCGTTTACTATAAGATCGTATCATATCGATAGTAACATTTTCTCTCATTACATATCACATCTAATGGTGGTTTTATTGAAATTTAGAAAATGAAAGCCTTTGACTTAGTCTTATTTATAGTTCTTTTGATCTGTAAACGAAGCATCATGTTGTGTCTTTATTTGATTATGACCTACAAAATTAGTCCAGGTGTAGTTCAATTTATCATAAATCTTAAATTTGTCATTTGATGAATTCAATAATAATTTCCGCTGACAGCACTTTCGACTCTTCCACACCGCATCCGACAGTCTTTTTGTTGAAATTAATTAAACAAAACGGATCAGAATTTACACACTATACGATCAATTTGTCATATTAATTTGATAAACATTTTAATTTTAATGAATGGTCTAATTAAACTTAGGTATAAATTTAATTGATTCTTTCTTTTAAATGAAATTGCATTTTTAAAAGAAGTAAAGAAATGAGCAGTAGATAGAAGCCGAAAGAAACTTTATTTACAATTTAATTTAATGCCAGGCTTACTCAGCTCATTTTTGTATACATTTGGTAAAATCTGGGCTACTAATAGTAATACAAGATTAGAAATGACTGGATGCCGAGAATTTAGAAGTATCAAAAAAACCAAATGGATAATGTTTATTTTTTGCCTATCTAAGCTAATTTTACTGAACTAGCTTAAATAGGATGACTAAATTGCTTAGTTTAATAAAAAGTTATTGAATCGTAAAGGCTTTAGATTAATTGTAATATGTATCATTAAAGGATGAACCGCATCGATAATTTAGGCAATGTTGGAAACATCAATAATCAAATAGTGCTCGCGACTATTTTGTAAGAATAAAGGTTCTACAAAACTTTTGGTTTCTTTTAGTTTTTGTTTATATAAAAAAAAAAGGAAGAAATTTTAATCTTTTTTTCTAACTTCAAAAATAATTATTTTTAGGAAATCGAACATGGGTAATGACTGATTTTGATCGGCATATTATTAATGTGTGGCGTCCAAAAGGATCAATTGTAATCTTTGGTGATCGTTTCATTAAGGATAAGCAACGATTTGGATATTCATTATGCTTTTATTGTGGTATGTTGGAACAACAAATTGGTCAGTTTAGATGTCATCGACAACGACGATACTGTTCTCAAAAGTGTTTCTATGCTGCACTTGCTGAAGATAACAATACAGAAAGAATTTAAGAATAGATTGAAGGAAATTTGAGAATTATTAGATCTAGTGCTTATTGCATATTTATAGTACTTATTGTATATTTGCATATATCTATGATGTTCCAATACTATAATATTTTATGATTATTTTACATATTGAAAATAAAATATATATGCATGTTTTGATATATGCACATAAGCTATAATTTTCAAATTAGCAATGCTTTGAAATATTCACAAGTATTCCATCACTTATGTATTTATTGAAATTAATTGATGTTTAAAGCATTAAAGCAAGCATGTATAAAATTTAAAAAAAAAATCCTCACTAATGCATTATTAATTACAAACAACTGTAATGCAGTATATTATACAATATTTTTTCTTATTTTATATTTCAAATATTTGTGTGATTTTTTTTCACTAATCCATTTTTACCTAAATATTTGTGTGTTATAAATGCATAAGATATTCGTATGGATTTCGAATATTTTATTCTGCAAATATTAATATGATTTAGTAAATTAAACTGTTAATCATTTGTTCAAAAAATTTACATTAATAGAAAAAAAAAGTCAATAACAGAAGACAAAATGAAATAATTCATTAAATCATAAAAAGAATCTGGTATTTAAATTCGAAAAAATTTGACATTCCAATTTGGAAATTTTAATTTTTGATATTCTAAGCTGAAAAACATAGTCTTTGTAAATTAAATTGTTATCTTTTCGTAAATTTGGAAAGGAAAAAGAAGGTAACAAATTTTATAAACTATCTGAACAATTGGAACTGGTGATGAGGCGTTGCGTTCAGGTTACTTTAGTGGGCGCAGGTTCAAATCCTGAGGCGGACAGGGTTGTTTACAAAAGAAATTTCTCTCTTTCTTTGCACAATATTTGCAATGAACTTTTCAGAGATTGTATGATAGATTTTATATAAGGTTTAAAATATACATTAGAAATAATAAATATCCAATAAGACTTGTTCAACGGAATGGAAAAATATTGAAATTTAAGAATTTTTTTAATAAAATTTTAGCATTTAATACTCAAAAACAGCAATTTTTTGGACAAAATTTTATCATTCAAAAGAAGAACGAAAGCAAAATGCAAAAAGCAGCAATGCTAAAATCCCTTTCTTTTCTTCTTTATTTTTAAATTTTTTTTATTAAGAAGAAAATTTTCCTTTTTCAGAAAAAGAATTACGCTCATTAAAATTTTATAACAATGTAAAAGTAAAATGTACAGCAATAAAAAATGAATAATTCAATTTTATCCACTGTAAAATTTGAAACAATTTATTTCTTATTATATAGATTGCAATATAAATGAGAAACTTTTAGGTTATTTTCTTAAACAAATCTATTGCTTATATCTTTTGTTTGTTTGGAATTTTTGATAATTTCATTATTTCTGTCTTTTAAATTTAAAGAAAAAAAAACCGATCACAAATAGTGGTTTGTTCGGTGCTATCTCTTTATGGTGATTTTTTTTTAAGAATATAAAATGCTAATTATCTCGGAGGAAATTTTTCACTTAGCAAAATTCTCCCTATTGATTTTTTTTCAACTTGTCATTAAATCGATAATATTAATGAAGAACTCCGCTTAATTTTTTGTCAAATTTTGAATTTCTTATTGATTAGTGAAGAGTAAGAATGTTAGCTTCCGACCAACGTTTTATAGGATTAAGTGTAACGTTTCGTTTTTGAAATTTCTCAAAAAAAAAAATTTATTTCACACGCAGATAATTACAACTTGAGATGTCGATTTGCATATAGAGGTGTTAGATTAAAATTTTAAAGTTTGAAGAAGGCGCCTTTCCATTCCATCTTTTATTTTTGTTAGCGTTAGGAGGGTCGGAGGAGTTGATTTGATTTGAGGTTATTAATATGATATATGATATGATAAGAAGATTTTCGATTGTCAGATATTAGGGAAATTATGAGAAGGATTTTTAAATGATTATTTGGATATTAGGAAAAATTAGGAAAAAAAATATAAAAAAGGTTTGATAATTATTTGAGAATGAGAAATAGATTATATGAAGTAAAAGCAGGGAATAATAACACTTTCTAAGTGTAATAGTAGTAATCTACTTGAAGAGTTCAGAAATTGCAGAATGATAAACTTTTAGAAATTTTAGAAAAAGGAAAGAAAAATTAGACGGCGAAATTTCAATTTTTTTGGGGTAAATTATGATTAAAAAAAGGTTAAAAAAAGTTAAAGTTTCAACGGTTTCTTATCTATTAATTTAAATGCCCAGATATATACATATCATATCTTTATAGCCATCGGATATAAATCTTATGCGATCACCTAATAACAATGACGTAAAATCGACCATGTGAATAAATATAGGTAGATAAACTTGTTCGTAAATGTTATAAATATTTTTTCAGAGTATCAGGTTATATTTCTCCTTTTTCTCATGTGCTGCAGTTGAGTCATTACAATGAATCGTCTGCAACGTGTATGCTTTTTGAGTCTTAATTTCCCTATCAGCGCTACAATTCTTAATTTTTTGAGCGAGCTGCAGTTCCAGGATCATTGAGTCATTCCATCATATTAATGATCTTGTTCTATAAATGCCTGACAACGTAATTTAAGATACCAAAGAATCTGTTGTTTACCATCTAGTTTTCAAACTTTAGAAATGATTTCTAAAAAGATACATTTTGTTTTAGGAGTACGATGACCTGGAAGAAATCGGACGTGGTGGATTTGGAGTCGTTTACCGTGGTCGATGTGTTGCCAAAGGGAAAGAATGGAGCGGAAAAAATGTCGCAATCAAAAAGGCAGGAAAAATCTTTTTACTTTATCTGAAATGTGTAATGTTATTATCTCTTCATTATATAGATAGTATTTCAGATTGATATCACAAAAGCGGCAACGTTTCGAGTCGAATTAGAGTTACAAGCTTTATCCAGACTTATCCATGACAATATCGTGAAGTTTTATGAGCAGTTCCAAGAAAATGGTGCGCAGTATATAATCATGGAGTATTGCAAACATCGGTCACTACGAGATTACGTTAAACAAAATGGAAGATTATCTGATTTTTCAGGTGAGATTTTCTACTAATTCTCTTTGAAGTATTAATACAGCGCAATCTATTTATAGAAATTTCAAGCAAACTTGTGAAGCATTAATGCATATCATAGAACCAATTCGAATCAGCTGTCGTTTATGTTTCGTCGTAGTTTTTGATCTGGAAATAAAATTTATTATTCTTACGACTCTACACTGTGTTTTTTTAATACAATATTTCCAGCGGCATATATTCTTCGTCAGTTAGTAAGTGCAGTGAAGTATATACATGAACGTAATATGATACACCGTGATATCTCTGCTGGGAACGTCCTTATTTCATCGATCAGAGAAGACAAATTATTTGTCGTAAGTTTTGCAGATTAAAATTTTGTGGTTGCCATATTCAGCCCGTAATAGCGATTACAAATCTTTTTAAAATATCGGTTAAGTGGAGTTTTAATGGATTTCATGTTATGCTGCTGAGTTATCTAAACCTTTTTATTATGCTTATCTTTAACTGCTGCATTTTTGAGTGATTTAATATAGAAACATGTTATGAGTTATAGAAACTTGCTGATTTTGGCCTTGCGACGAAATTCCGGAAAGGTGACATTGCTAGGACAATGCTTGGAACTCCCGGATACATCGCTCCGTAAGCGAATCAATTTTTTAATATCTTAACTGCAGATTAGTTTTATAACCCTCAAATTTTCTGATTTATGAAAGTAAGCTTACTAGTTAAAGAATGATGGGACTGTGAAGTATTGTTGTGCTATTACGATGTTCTTTTTTAAATAAATGATCAAAAAATTTTTTTGCAAATTTGAAATTGCCATTAAGAGTATGTCCAAGTGCATAAAACAACGTGAAAAATTCTATTATTACTAGATCTTGATTAAGAAATCTAGATCTGTTGCCTGCAAAAAACTATTTCCATTTTATATAAGATTGTAGGCAAGTGTATAATCGGCACTATAATCAAAAGGCAGATGTTTATTCTTTGGGTGGAATATTATATCTAATGTTAACTGGGTATGATCCGCCGAGAGATTGTGAAGTGAATCCTTTCAAGGAAACAATTTCGTTAGAAGGTGCTACTCTCATTCAAAGTATGATGGATCCAAATGAAGAAAGACGTATTTCTCTCGCAGGTACTTTGTTTTTAAGTGCTTTTAAGCAACACTGTCAGTGCCAAGATTTTCAGTTAGGCAAACTGTATTTATTATGATTGTTCATCTCATTTCCACTTATACGCAGTCATTCTCACGTTATGCACATTGCCACATCAATAAACAAATGTATTATGGTTCACTTCGTTTAAGATATATCAATGAGTGATTTTATGAGGAAAGTTGATGGACTTAGCCTTCCAATAAGTAGATCTCGAGAAGTATCGAAAGAGAGAATCATTTATCGTGATTGTCAAACTGCGGTAAGGTGGTATTTGTATTTTTATGATTTCAACAGCAATTTTTTCCTATTCTTTATAGTGAATGATTAATGGTCGGTTGATTAAATGTATTCAGACACCACAGATTTTAACTAATAGCAAGCAAGTGCAACATATACAATATTTGGATTGCAACTGATATCGAGACTTTTTGTACTATTTTCAGCATATTTCACCGGTAATTGTTCGAGCACATTCGGCGAGACCAATGGCTAGTGGATATAAGCGTATGACTAAAGATTCTGCATTTGAAAGCGGCGAAAGTGGTCATCCCGTTCGTTTTTTTACTTCTGTTAACATGTCATGTTACGGACTATATTTTTTGTTGCTTTTTATCATTTTTCATTGTTTTTTACCATTGTAAAGTTTCGTTTCTTTATTAATTCACTCTACATTTTAGATAGGATGTAGATTCATTTCCATCCTCTATACACCATGATTAATATAATTTAATCTAAAAAAATTTAAGTATCGTCGACGACCGTCTTTGGATTACCATCGTAGCGAATCAGTTGGTATAACAAGTTGTCGACATAGTACCAATTTGGAAAATCAATGTGCACACTGTGGTAAGCGACAGTCATTGGAAAAAAGGTATGGAAGGTAAAAAATGAAAATTACAATTCCTAAAATATTATGAAGTATTAATTTGTTATACATAGTTTGTTTTTTAAACTTTTTCTTATATGCTTAGTTTATTTGTCACTTTTAAAAGATCGCACGCTTCTATGAAAGGATGCTTCTGTAAAAAAAAATATTATATATATATATATATTTTAAATCAGTTGCAGGGAGACTGACGTATACGAGTCCAATGGTATGCGACAGTCATCACGCGCAAAACAAAGACCTGCGCTTATTGCACCAGTGGGTGCGAATCTAAAGCAGATGGAGGGAAGCTTTGGTGACAATTCAAGTAAAACAACTGCTGCACTCATATGGCCAATTGATGTGTCACGTTTGACGCCTTCTGAGACTGTACGAAAAGCGGGAAGGGTAAATTAAATCTAATTCCTTTTTTATGAAATGATCATCTCTATCTTTGTAGTCTTACATAGTGTTTATGATTTATTTGCATGTGTTGAATTTTTTATATTAATAAGATGTAATGTTTCTTTTATTATAGATGATGTGCTTACTATTTCTTACTACTATTAGCTTTACATTTGTGTCCTACGAATGATTAGTAGGTTTTTAAATAGTCGTTAGAAAATGTTACCTCACAAGCGACAGAAATTGTGCTCTATCGAATAGTATTCATGGAATGGAAAATGGTGATTTACATAGTTATTCGGAGTTATAGGCGCAACTTATATAGTTTGATTAACTTGTCGACTACATTTGCGTAATATCCAAATACCTCACTAGAATCTGAATAATTTTCGTTCGAATACGATTTCAATTTTGATATTTCAATCATTAAGTTATTTAGTTGGTCTTATTTTAAAATTATTGCAGTTTACACTTCAAAAAAATGGGACAGTCGTTTACGAAGCGACTATTCGGGATCGAAGCCGTTCAGTCAATCGGAACGGCTCTATAAATGATGAGATACTGGTAAAATGGATTGCCACAGTAAAACGAACAACAAATGGAGCACAAAATTTTTCTGTTTTCCATCAGCCAGATAAATGTGCTTCTTCTGTAAATAAGGAAATACTTCCTCATCTGACTGATTCTAAAATTCATCGTAATTATCATAGGTATAATAAAAATTTGCTTACCTAGCCTATTAATATTGTCTGATTTTCTGAATATACTGTGATACACATATGCACAGTATAAGTGTCAATCGCCCTATTCCATTTCTTAGTTTTCATTTGCAGTTTAAAACAGCTGCAGTACAAAGTCGATAAAGTGGATGAGATTGCTTTGGCGTTGTATAGAAGGATTCTGGATGAGGTTAGTACGTTAGGGGCACGCGTTGTCAAGATTATCTTCAAGCCGTCATGTGATAGCACTGCTCGGTTAATGGAAAATGGCGATTTTCGAATCAAATTTCAAGATGGTACATATTTCTTCATTTAGGATAATAGGACTTTCAGTTTTCAGTATTTTCAACATATTCCTTGCAAGATTACCCTATAATAATGCATGTCTTTAATTGCATAAGTAGATAGGGATATGAAATTGCAAAATTGACCTCAATATTTTGATAATAATCATTATAATTTCATATCGGTCTTCATATCGGAATAAGTGATGAAATTTTGACACTGCTAGATCTACACTTTTCTGACACAATAGTCATATAATTCATATAAAAATACGTCATTGTTCTTCGACTTTTAGGTTACTTCTAGTAATTATTTAAATTTGAGGTTTCATGCATTTATTCGGAAAGAAAATATCAGATTTCTATAATTATATATTGCTATTCGGTGATCTGTTTGTTATGGGAAATAATTACTAATGTGGAAAGTAATTCAATTATAAACAATGCAATTTGGAATTTGAGAGATGAAGGGGTTCTTTTTTTCTTCGTTCGTCGATACCTTCCTAGTGAATTTAAAATGATGTAAGCATTTCTCTTTGCAGGACGGTTGGCTATACTTAAAAAAAGTGCAAAATCAATTGTTGTTACAATGAATAATAAGACTCCCTCATCTTTATCAAATGGTGAGATTTTTTTAGTAAATGGAGCAATTTTTCTCCGTTCATTTATTTAAGTCTTTAGAATTGTAAGGTGCTTGGTTGTTATTAATGTTAACCTGTTTTGGACATAGCTATCATAAACCTATTGTGATCATTTCTGATGCCCTAAATTTTGTCCTCTTCCTTGTTTTCTTCCAACACTGTGAAATGTTTGCTTTTTTTTTTTTTTTTTTTTTTAAATCTGCAGTGAAGAATGATAACGTTTGAATTACAAGATTATACTGTATATCTTCCACGTTTCCTGTGTTAGCTCGTGTGTCATCTATTAAAAAAATCTTCAACTAATAAAGTTTGATTTATACATCATATAAAGTTTATCTTTTGATTTGCAGAAGAAAGGTGTATGTTCGAATGTGCACATACCGATGCACTTTTGTTAGAGACATTCTTGGAGAGCGCTCCATTGAAAACCGTGAAATCTTTTCCGTTTCACTTCTCCAATAACAGGTTTGCTATTTTTTGTCCCTGCTGCTCTTTGAGTGAAATTAATGAATAAATCATTTCAGTCAATTTAGTATGAACGAAATGACGGAAACATCGAGAGAAAAAATTTTGGCGGAAAAGCAAGCGAATCATATGAGTTCGGAAAGATTCCACGCTCCCACTCAATTACAAACCAAGAAGTGTCAGTCAACGGATTGCATGCCAATGCAGCAGCGTCGTGCACCGCTTCGCACCCGCAACGTTCCATCGGTGTCTAGTGCAAATTTGCTTTTAATACCATTTCTTTTTGAATTATTTTATTTTTATCTTTCTTTCATTTCGTGCATCTTATAGAAAGAAATTTATACTTTGTTTCAAGCACATAATATTGCAAAATATTTCATAATATATAGATAGTCAGAAAGTATAATGGCAATGTCACTTTTTTCACGCTAACATTTTATAATTAGAGATGATGCCGATTTTTTTTTTCCGATTATTTTGCAATGTTGAAAGATTCAAATTTTTCTTAAAAATTGAGGAAAAGATTTGCATTTGTGCCGTTTAATTTTTACAGTTTGTTTAGACTTCAAATAATGATGTCGAAATTGTTCAGAAAACTAGAGAAACTAGCTCATCACCCGAAAATTTGCAGTTGGTTCGTTCTTCCATATCTGTCAATATTCAATTTTTTTTTTTTTTGTATTTGTTCGATGCTTTCAAATCTACCTGTTTTACATTTAGCCTCGCCATCGACCCCAAATGCTTGCTGAAGGAGAGTACATCTTGCGCGGTCAGTTTAATAAAAATGTAAGTTTATTGCAGTGCCAATTAGTTTTATAAACATAATATTGAGTATACCAGAGGATTGGTAGGGCGTTTTATCTGGGAAGTGAGTTTTTTAAATAAGATGAATATATAATGCTTAATTTTTGTCTTTGTTTAGGGCATACAAGTTCCGACACGTATCATTTTAAATGATCCAAAAATTACTCTCGAACTGCGAATATCCTCTAACGATCCGAAAGTTTTTGTTTTTAAAGAAAATGGTCATGAAAAGAGGTTATCATTTTATTGGTTTCAAAAATTTTTCAAATTATAAAAAAACTCTCAGCGTCGTTCATTTAATATTTTGCACAATCATATCAGGCAGATAGTTGTTTTTATCTTATGAGTATATCGCAGTATATCTTATGAGTATATCGCAGTATATCTTATGAGCATTATTCACTTCTTGTTCATATTTATTTCAAGAAATGAAAACGGATTCGAAATTGAATGTGTATAATTTAAGGTTTCGTTTTGATGGCATCAGTTACGGCTGTGTTCCAATGGCTGCCCGTGATCTTCTTTTTACACTATGCCAGAAACGACTGAAATTGAAAGCATCATTAAATTAAGCTTGGACACATAAATTCTTTCTTGCTCATTGATCTCCATCTCATTGATTGTTTGATTTTTATCATAATCATTCAAAATTTGATTACCATACTATGTTGAAAGGCTTAACCATTCTTCAACTATATAACACTTTGTTCTTAACTCACTTGGAACTTCATTTTGACATCGCACTTAATAGATATTGATGAGTTTCTTGATTTTACTGATTGTTAATTCGTTGTTTAATATGAACCTCAAATCTTGTTTCTGTCGTATCTTTTTCGTAGTTTTTAAGAAGTATTCAAATCCATCCTCAATTAGGTGGATGCGAGAGAGAAGACAGGAAGGAACACAAATATAAAAATCCTCGTAAAAATTAGCTAATGTGACTTATATGTACTGATTCCTATTCTTTGTCTGAAAAAAAAAATTGTTTGTACAAATAAATTATTGTACAGTTATTTTTTAGATGCTTTTTTTAAATTACGCGAGTAATTGCCACTCCCAATGGAAATGTTGGGTATATTTTTGAAATGGAAAAGCGAGATATAGTTATTTATAGCTTAGGTGTAAGTTTTCATATTAAAGATTTAATGATACATCAGACCGATTGAATTATCTTTTATGTCGATACTCAGACAACAAAGAAATTGGATGCTGGCAAAAGCTGTCGGTTGACGAACGATGGGATGAAATAAGGGGAATGAAATGTATGGGAGGCTGTACTAAATATACTGACTTTGCTTATATAAAGTTTTTGGAAATTTTTCAGGAAAGAATGCTAGATGTAGTTATGCATCGATCATTTGAAAAATTTTCTAAAAAGTTTCTTTTTAGTAGTCAAATTACTTTCAGTTTAATAATTATTGACTAGTGTTGGCCTTTTGATGCAAAAGGTAGAAAAATGCAAATGCAGTCGAAAAGAAGACAGTAAAGATGTTTATTTAATTGCTAAATAAAGGAATGGATGGAAATGTTACTATTATGTTGTAACTATCGCTTTACAGATATTTCAGTTTATGAGAAGTAATTAAGAAAGGTATATGCATCTCATAATGATCAAAAAAAGTAAGCCATTCCAGAACTTAATTAACTTAGTTGGCCGTTTAATCCATTGTTTTAACAACAGGGAAGTGTTATGCTTAAAGAATGAGTAGTAGCTGTGAAAGTGTGGGAGGAATACAATAGCCCATGGCGGAATGTCACGTGGTGAAGATCATGAACCCTAGCCACCAGACCATATAGGAAGTGGTGTCCACCCTAGATGACGCTCAATGTAAGCTTATAGACTAAATATATAGTTCAATTTGAAAACTATAGTTAAAAATAACAATTTTTTTAAAAAAAGGTACAGTTAACTAACAATAACGTCTTTCATTTGATAACTCTGACAGTAACATCTCTTATTTGACTATAACCAAGAATAGGTAGAAGATTGGTAACAAATATTAGATAAAAAAAAATTTCATTACGATAAACAGAAATTATTTAAAAAAAATTGTTTCATTAAATTTTCCCACAACTCTTATTTATCAATTATCTCAATGAATCGTATCTGAGAGAGAAACAAAGAATTGACTAATTTTTTGTGTTTTCATATCGATTTTTTAACCATTCATTTGAAGAAAAAATTGGATTTATCAATTAATTTATGATTATTTGAACATATTTTTTTAATTCAAATTTACAAATTGTTTATGTACAGAAGAGGAATGAAGAGAGTAAAGATAACAAATTAATTGGATAATTATATTTAAATTATTTTGAATGATGAAAATTGTTTGGTTAAATTTTCTTGCATTTCTTATTTGCTTATCACTCAACCTACATAATTAAGATATTTGGCATTGTATTTCCATCTTTTCCTTTCATATTATCCTGCACTCATAATTTCGGTTTATTTAATAACATATTCAATAAATTAACTCCTTTTAGTAATTAATTAATTAGTTGTTAACAGTTAATTGGCATCATCTAATAAATTATAAAGAATAGTATAAAGTATTTATTGCATTTCTTTCTCTGTTATTAATTTATCATGTTTATTACTTATAGAAAGCAAGTAAATAATTCAGTTACCTATAATTACTTTTATTAAAGTAGGGTTTAGAATGATTTGAAGTTTTCATATTTGAAATAATTTTGCATAAAAATTTTTACAAGAATGATGAGTTTTTGTGATTACAATTGATATTTTTGCCTCAATAATGTCTAAGATCTGATCATAAAATTACAAGTGAAAGATGATGTTAGTTAATAATTGAGATTCTAATTGTTTTTTAAAATTTACGTTTTAAACTTGTCATCTTTCAGATCTATTGATAAGTGTAAATTTAATTTAAGCATAAATATAACATGTTTGAATTACATGCGATAATAGAACTTAATGAATAATAGTATAATTGAAATTGACTGATTAGTTTTTTCTTTTTTCGCCTTGAATCAGATTTATTTCCTATTAGTGTTTATGTTACAATAATATTGCTTGTAATAATCACATTTTACATTAAAGTGCTCAGTATTTATTATTTTTCTACAAAAAAAAAATAACAAAATAAAATAAAATAAAAAAATAGTAAGGTAAAAAAGATTGCTGATTTAAAGAACTGATATCATTTAGAAAAACGTTGGCATTTTCATCGCTAAAAATTAAATTAAAAAATTTTTAGATGTAGTAAAACAAAGTTTTAAAACTATTCTTCTTTTTAAAATTTCCTTTAGAATATTTCTTCTAAAATTGTTATTTAGAAATCCTAATTTATCATGTTATATCCCATTTATTGCTCATTTATTACATAGTTTAACAAATTTAACGATCTCCAAAATTTACCAGAATTCAAGTATTTCACTTCTCAAAAAAAAAAAGTGAATTTTCTGGTAAAAATTTCTTCAACAAGTTATAAAGTTCATAATTATCAAAAAGAAAAAATGATGAAAATGGTTAATTTCATATCAGTCCCTTTTCTTGGTTTTATTCTTTCTTCTCTTTCAGTAATTTCAGTAATTTGTTTGATTTGCCCAGTTTCACCTCATCACTGAATTTTTATTACTCAAATATTTTCCATTCATCAATCGACCTGTCACTAATATACATTCACTATCAATAGAATTTGTTCTAATAATGGGATTATAATTATCGAACCACTGATCATTGATAATTGCTTTTCACTGAGGGTTTGAAAATTTTGAAAAATGACAACAATCGCGAAAATTAATAATAATATTATTAATATTAATAATACTAAATAATAATAGTAATAATAGTGACAATAATAATAGTTTATCAAATAAAAAAATGCAATAATTAAACAATTACCGTAATTTTAATCAATGAGAATATGTCTCATCTCAATCACATCCACTTTTCTACCTTTCTTCTTCCATTTCTCATTTCAATATTCTTTTCAGACCTTATCAGTTATTACTGAAATGTGCTGAGCGATTTCACAAATTACTCCTTCCTTCCCTCATTTTAATCACTTTATTTCGTTCAGTAGAAAATAATGATAATAGCAATAATAATAACATGAATAATAATAATAGTATTGCTAAGATTTATTGCGAATCCAGAAATGTCCTTCATACGAATATTTGAGAGTTATTAGAACATCCCTTGATGATCAATTTACAACAATAATATATGTGGCAAATGATTGAATTAATTTGAATTATTCTATCAGTTCAATATTTGCATCACATTTACCTTAATAAAATTCGTTCAATTATTTCATTAAAAAATTTCAAGCATTTTTATTTTGATGTATAATAGTGATCATAGCTAATTGTACTAACAGTACAGCATTAATTGTTTTTATTTCAGTATCTTAATTTGGAATTATAATATGCAGTTTTAATGATTAATTAGAGTTTTGCATGTAACATACATAATAAGCCATGTACAATAATGAAATATCATTATGCAAGTAAGTAATGGTTAAATAAACTATTATTAAGCTTTCCTTTCAACAGATATACTTAGATATTAATGATTGCACTTTAATAAGCGAAATAAGACGTTCAGGATTTTCTCGCTTTTTCATTTTTTCCTTTCTTAAAAAAACAGACAAAACTTTGAGAATCAAATGTTTTGAAGAAATTGCGGTAAATTAATAACAGTTATAAAATTACGGAACCTATAATTTGTAAATTTGAATTGGAATAGTCATCAGGTGCTTGTATTCATTAATTAGTTGATAAAAATCAGTTTATTATTATTATTATTATTATTATTATTATTATTATTATTATTATTATTATTATTATTATCGTCATTTTCATTGTATGTATTGCTGTTACTACCATCATTCCCATGGTATCCGACATTTGTTGCTCTCTCTCTTTCATTTATCATTTAATGAAGGTATATTTTCTGACAAAAAATTCTATTCGATAAAAATACAAATTTTTACCGATTTTCTCCCATATTTATTTCTATTTTGTTTTGTTTCCATGTGAAAAAGCATTTTTTACCTTAATTTTTTTCATTTTTATATGTGTGGTAATGAGAATATTTGGTCATTTGAATGTAATTTTGCATGTGAATAAGGAGGAAGAATGATTTTCAAAAAATGAACTGAATTGGTTGAAACAATAATTTTAGGGGAGAGAGGGAAAGAGAATGAGAGGAAGAAAGAGGCAGACAGAGAGAGAGAAAAGTGAGGGAAAAATGATAGAATTAAATTGCTTGCGAAAGCGAATTAAATAAACCCATTAACAGGTAATATTACTAATAATAGCATGTTGTCATCTTTTTCGCACTATTTTGTAATTTTTTTTTCATTTATAAAAAAAACTTTCACCTTTCTTTTTTTTGCAATAAATGAGCATAACAAAATATATTTTAGTAATTACTACTATTTTATATGAAAATGCATGCAACATACAATTGTTTACATGCAGTTTTTTTTTAAATACTGCATCACTTTGATTTCATTTCATTCTTATTTACTGCTAGTTAGTAATATAGCTTTTTTATGTATGAAGAAAAGATAAATGTACAAAACAAAGTAATACTGCTAAC